CAACATCTCCCACGACACCATCCGCTTCGTCTTTGGTCTTCCGAATGAGAACTCCGTGCTAGGGCTGCCGACGGGCCAACACATTGCCATCAGGCACGAAGTCGACGGGAAGCAACTCGCACGCTCCTACACGCCTACGTCCAGCAACAAGGACCGCGGTCGTTTGGAACTGACTGTCAAGATCTACGAGGGCGGTAAACTGACACCTTGGTTGAGCAAGCTGAACGTCGGCGATATGGTCGAAATCCGTGGACCCAAGGGCGTGATGAAATACCACAAGAACCTCGTCAAGGAACTCGGTATGATCGCCGGCGGCACGGGCATCACGCCCATGTTCCAGATCATCCGCCGTATCTGCGAAGACCCGCGCGATGATACCAAGACGACGCTGCTGTATGCCAACAAGACCGAAGGCGATATTCTGCTTAAGGACGAGCTGGACAAGTTTGCGGCGCAGTACGAGCAGTTCAATGTGCACTACGTTTTGAGCAGCCCTTCGGAGAGCTGGAAGGGCGACAAGGGGCGTATTAGCAAGGAGATGATTGAGCAACGCTTGCCTGCACCGGCTGGCATGGATAGCAAGGTTCTTGTTTGCGGGCCGGACCCGATGATGGACTCTATGGTTGGCTACTTGCAAGAACGCGGCTTCAAGGCACCTGGTATGTTGACACCATTTGACAACCTCCGACGCAACATCCATGCTAACTCATATCCAGGCAAAATCTCGAAGCCCCAAGATGAGATCTTCACTTTCCAGTGATTGTCCCAATCGGCGTGCGGAGGCTCAGCATAGCGATGGCGGTGATGGGAGTGAGCGCTATTGGGCAGATGCTTGATCAAGAACTTGTTTTAGATACATATTTCGTAAACTTATGCAATTGTAGTCACTACCAAAATAAACTTTACATCTCTCAACCAATGCATTCACTTCCATACTCTACTCATGTATCCGAGGTATCTTGAAAAGCGCCCATGTGAAGAACGCCTAAACGCCATTCAAGATGCAGTTCGGCCGACGAAGCACCGCGCGTCTCGCATGCATTGGCGCATATCCTGCGTCTCGCACGATACAAAAGCACCGTACGAATGACGTCGATACCCGATCGGCACTGCACGGATGTGTACCAGGTCGTTGGGCGAGTGACGCAACTTCTACATGTGTCTAGTGCGCGTTAGCGTGTACCGTCAATATACATCATGCATCTAGATGCGTACGAGAAAGCTACAGAATCAGCAATAACCAAGAAGCAACGACGTCTGTTGTCTTGACTCAGACGAACAAACAACGGAAATGTCTCTTTGCGCAAGACGACTATCAAGAGGCGTTCGGCGGGTCTCGGCCGAGCCCTCTGCGAGTTATGCGACGACGCGATGCTTGAGCACGCGTATAACTACACTGGAACCGGAATTGAGAACTGTCAATACATCTTTCCGCACTCGCTCAACACCGTTATCATACTCAATCATGGCGAATACGCAAACACGAGCTGCATCCAGCAGCACACAACCGCAATGGACGGCACCAGACACATCATCGAGGCCAGTCGCCGTTCTGGGCGGAGGAGTCTTGGGTCGACGAATCGCTGCTTCATGGGTCGCCGCTGGCTATGAAGTCGTGTTGTGCGATCTCAGCGACGAGCAGAGGAACGCCGCGACACACTACATCGAACACCACATGGACGAATTCTCGAAACTTACCGGTAACGCACGGAAACCAACGCAATTCAAGACTGTCAAAGACATCGCAGAGGCGGTCAAGAACGCGTGGTTGGTGGTTGAAGCATTGCCAGAGAAGCTTCCGTTGAAGATCGACATCATGGGCCAGCTCCAACAACAGGCGCTGGGCGATTGTATCCTAGCTTCCAACTCGTCGTCGTACAAGTCGCGGTTCATGCTCGATAAGGTGGACGCGGGTAGTCGGCATCGCGTTTGCAATATGCATTACTACATGCCTCCGGGTAACAACGTTGTCGAGCTCATGACATGTGGTGAGACGCATGCAGACATTCTGCCGTTTCTGCAAAGCAAGCTTCACGATGCGGGGATGACACCAGCTATCGCGCGCAAGGAGTCGACAGGTTTCATCTTCAACCGACTTTGGGCTGCCATCAAGAGGGAGAGTCTGCTCATCATGGCGGAGGGTGTTTCGGAGCCGGAGGAGATCGACAGGCTCTTCTTGACGATGTTCAAGGATAACCCGGTTGGACCTTGCGGAATGATGGATGCGGTTGGATTGGACACCGTTGCGTTCATCGAGAACAACTATGTTGAAGAACGCGGCGGCGACCCCACAGCGCGGGACTGGGTCCAGAAGAACTTTGTCGAGAAGGGCAAGCTCGGCGCGAAGTCTGGCAAAGGCGGTCTGTATCCCGCTGGTGAGACGACGCGCAGCTCCAAAGACGAGAGCGGCCATCACGACAACCTCGCGGCGCCCAGACTGTACTTCCTCGACATTGGCATCGGGGGCAATGTTACCGATCTGCAGAAGATGGCCACCTCCGGCAAGATCATGACAGCTTCAGCGGACGGAAGTAACGTGCGCGAGATCGTCGGCGGCCAAGCCATGCCCGATGGTATCGACGTGTCCATCTCAGCTGGTCGCATCTTCTGGACGAACATGGGCGCGTCTCCCGCCAAGAACAACGGCAGTGTCATGTCCACGAGCCTCGATGGCACTGACATCCAAGCCATCATTCCGGAAGGTCAGATCCACACACCCAAGCAGCTCAAGATCGACCACGAGAACAAGAAGCTGTACATCTGCGATCGGGAAGGCCTCCGAGTCCACCGATGCGACTTTGACGGCAGCAACCACGAGATCATCGTGCAGACAGGCGACGCCGGGTCAGCTGCTGGAGAGGACCAGACAAACTGGTGTGTTGGCATCGCAGTCGACCCTCAAGGCGGGAAGTTCTACTGGTCTCAGAAGGGCCCGTCCAAGGGCGGCAAGGGCCGCATCTTCCGCGCAAACATGCAGATGCCTGCCAATGAGACAGCGTCCTCCCGCTCCGACATCGAACTGCTCTTCGACCACCTCCCTGAACCCATCGATCTAGAGTTCGAGGCCGACAGCCAAACGCTGTACTGGACCGACCGCGGCGAGTATCCACTCGGCAACACCCTGAACAAGGCGTATGTAGGTGTCGAGACGAAGGAGGAGAAAGGTGTTGTAACGCTAGCGAGGCATTTCCACGAGCCAATTGGATTGAAGATTGATGCTGTGAACCGGCACGTCTACTTGACTGACCTTGGTGGTACCGTGTACAGGTTCGACATGGACGGAGGAAGGAAGAAGAAGATATATGAGACGGACAGCGCGTACTCTGGTATCGCGCTTGCGCACCTGCATTGAGTAGACATACAGCTTTGTTATTAGTATCAGTAATGTAATCGTGAAGATGAACTCGAGAGGACCGCAGTGATGAGATGACGATGTCGGTGTCTGAGCTTGAGCAATCGCCGACGCACCCTCGGCATCCAAAACCCACCGAGGGTCCAAGCTCCTCAACACCAAAACATTCCGACCACCCCACGCGACAATCCCGCTGCGAACGCCGTCCCTCTCCTTCCACTCACTCAATTCCTCCACCTTGGTCTCAATCCCCTCCCACCGCCACAATGAACACAATCTCCAAACCCCCAACAATAAAACGCATCTCAGGCCCGAAGCGCTTCCTCGGCGTCCTCGTCGGCATAACCGGCGGCCTCTCCGCCAACGTCCTCCTCGCCTACAGCGTCTCCTCCTTCTACACGCGCAACACAAAATTCGTGCCGTACGACGCCTCCTCCCCCGACCTCACCACCTCCGTCTTCCGCGCGCACAACCCCAACGGCAACCCGCCTGGCTGCATAGACCATGCGATAAAGCAGATTCCGTATGGGAAGCTGCCGGAGAAGTACTGGGTCAAGGGCGACGGAGGCAGGATATCGGTTGATCAACCGGCACTCACGACGGACTTTTGTAGGGGCATTTGGAGCGGCGTGGCGTTTAGGGTGCAGAGGAGGTTGTTGGAGAAGTGGTATCGGAATGTGGAGGGCAGGGATAGCCATCTTTGGGATGTGAAGGAGTTGGCCAAGAGCGAGTATGCGGTTGGGACGAAGATTGTGGATCATTTTGAGGTTGTGGAGCATAAGGATGATAAGGTAAGAACTTCTTGCGATCGCATTGGGGTTTATCGGCTGACTTGATTTGTGCACAGGTTATCGTTCGATGCGGCGACTCACCACACGTTTCTGAACCCCGGCCCTCGGATGGTCTCTTCTCCATGGAGGTCTCGAAAGACGATGCTGCGCAGATGGCTACTTTCCACCTCAAGTCGGTCTTTGTGGATACGACGCCAGAGGGCAAGGACGGTGGACCGCAACCAGGCCATATTCAGTGGCTGCATAGGCTGTACACTAAGCTCTGGATGGAGAGCGCGACGCGCAAGTTGATCAAGGAGGCATAGAACTGATACCATCGCAATGCAAACTATTCTGGTCACGGCGTACCCTCAGCAAGTGCAAGGCATGCTACAGTCTCTGTACTTTACCTCTCACATCAGTGCGCGACTCTAGGCTTCGCGCGCACGGAATTGGTAAGGATTGGAGACGCTGTTCGCGATGCAAGACCAACAGGCTTGGATGATCGGCGCGCGGAGCTCACCCCGCCCGTTCGGTCGTAATTCCTGAGCAGCGCAAAAGCAAGGCTACCCGTAGCTCGAGCTCGAATGCGGGCATCACTCATCGTGACATACGTCAGCGGATCGGCGTGCGTCGAATGGCCGGTTCTCATGCGAGCACCATAACTTGAGATTCTTAACTTCGCACGCTGTTTCAATCTGTCGCTCTTCCACTTCTTTCAACCCTAATAGCTAACCGCAGCATCCTCGCCCTTCTTCTGCGCCCATCCGCTGGCTACGATATCCTTACCTTGATACTAAACAAGAACAAAAACTGTCTCGTTGACCACCTAGGTACATAGATACCTCTTCTACGACAACACTCTCAACACTTCCAGCATGGGCGTCATGAGCGTAACCTCCGAGACCATCTTTAACTACCCACCTAAGATCATATACGACTTCGTCTCCAACCCCTCAAACTGGGGTCGAACATACGGCGGCAGCGCGGGCTTGCCCGAAGGGCAGAAGTTGACCCTCCCCCTCAAAGTCGGCGACGTCTGGACCGAAGAAGTCGCTTTGCCAAACAATACCTACCACCCCAAATGGACGTTGGAAATCGCCGACCGCGGTCGCAAATTCGCCTTCCGCCAGGTTAATAACATCGCAGCCGGAGTTGATGGAAGTGGCGGTGTGAAGGGCTATTGTTGGATCACGTATACGTTCACGGAAGCTGGGTGTGGGTTGACGTTGTTCACGCGTAATTTGACGTGTGAGCTTGAGAAGGGGGTGGATGTACCGGAGGACCTTTGGGTGGCGATGAGTAGGCCGAGTGGGATTGATGGGTATCATGATAAGATTAAGGGGTTGCTTGATGAGGAGATGGGTGGACATAAGATTTTGTAGATATAGAGTGGTGAAGATAGTGAGGGGGATAATGGTTGGGAATAGAAGGATAGAGTTTATGCAGAAATCGTTTTTTACGTTTTTGGGTGACCGTAGACTTCTTCCTCTCTACACCTGGGCAGTGTTCGCATTACTCTGCTAGAGAAGACTAGCGGAACAGAGAGGGATACTCGTGGACACAGCTCGAGAAGGGTGGGGTGCAGAGGCGGGGCGAAGAACCTAACGCTAATCTGCATCCGGGTTTGGCGTTGTCGCTGTAGATCCTAGGCACCCAGGCACTCGCGACTTCACGCCCACTTTGTAGCATCGTCTTGGAATCTTACCATGTTCAGTCTTCTAACTAATGTATACGGCAGCGCACCTGCTTAGCTCCCTCGTACGAGATGAACACGATGTTCACCGTGGTACCAACACGCAATCGCAATCCGAGTGGACGCATCCTGGTTCTGTGATTACAGGTCGAGGCCTAGCTCGACCGACACCTTGGTCATCACGTACAATCTCACAACAATTATACGCCCTGATCAGTAAGAGAAGAATAGGGAAACTTGCATCCGAACGATCATTCGGAGTGTGATTTTATCCACCCATTAGTTCACGACCTCGGAGATGTGGTACCCCGCAACAACCCCGCACAGTATCGACTGGACCATCAATCACAGTTCAACGTTGCGGCTGTGCCCCTTCGCCCCGGTGTATACTGTCCTACCAAATCGTCCTCCACGGAGCAGCTTTGGGTCACGCACAGCTGTCAGCATTGACGACTAATACGCCCGACGCCCGATGCCCGCTGTGATGTAACATCTACCCGGTGTCGATCTATAAAGTTGTGATGCCTTCCGTTGCGTTTCACTCTTCCAGCAGTCTCTAACAAATTCACGACCACTTCCCCAGTCTTTAGTCGTATCATAGCTCCGAAGATGGCGCCAGATCTGAACACGATAGGCAGCGGCAAACAATGGGACTACTCAACGCCTGGCTCTGGCGGTTACAGCGTCCCAGACATCGTCTATAATGTGAGTGCCGATACCCCTAGCTTCTAGCAAAAAGACTGATCATCTTCCAGGACCCTTCCTCTCGAAAGCTCAAGGTGTTGACTATTGGAGCCGGCTTGTCTGGCATCCAAATGGCATACCAGATACAGAAACACACGCAGAATGTCGAGCATGTCATCTATGAGAAGAACGCTACTCTAGGAGGAACATGGCTCGAGAACAGGTATCCAGGTACAGCCACTAGTAAATCATCGCGTGAGTGAGCTGACACTTGCAGGTTGCGCCTGCGACATCCCATCGCATGCCTACACCCTCAACTTCGCTCTCAACCCAGACTGGCCGCGCTTCTTCTCCTACGCACCAGACATCCAAAAGTACCTCGAAAAGGTCTGCGATGTTTTTGACCTGCGCAAGTACATGACATTCAACACCGAAGCCGTACGAGCCGAGTGGCAAGACGACGTCGGCAAGTGGAAAGTCACGCTTCGCCAGACGTCATCTTCCGGCGAAGAACGAGAGTTTGAAGAGGAATGCGACCTTCTTCTCTACGCTTCCGGCATCCTGAACAACTACAAGTGGCCTGGTATCAAAGGCATCAACAGCTTCAAGGGCCGCATCGTCCATACCGCGACATGGCCGAAAGACTATCAAAGTGAGCAGTGGAAGGACGATCGCGTGGCGGTCATTGGATCTGGTGCTTCTTCCATCCAAACAGTACCGACCATGCAACCACACGTAAAGCACATGGACATCTTCGTCCGAACCGGAGTTTGGTTCGTCCAGATCGCGAACAACTACGGCCAGAACAAGGAGTACTCGCAAGAAGAGCGCGATGAGTTCCGGAAAGACCCGCGTAAGCTCGTTGCGCATGCCAAAGATATCGAGAACCAGGTCAACGGGTTGTGGGGCGCGTTCTACGCTGGAAGTGAAGCGCAAAAAGGCGCGCAAGAGCTGTTCAGGGAGAGGATGAAAGAGTTTCTCAAGGATGAACGACTCTTGGAGGGATTCACTCCGAAGTTTGAGGTTGGCTGTAAGTTTCATGCCACCCTTCACGGGAACGCTCACTGATCTCCTGTAGGCCGTCGCATAACCCCAGGCGACCCATACATGAAAGCCATCCAAGAGCCAAACGTCGACGTCCACTTCACCGCCGTAGATGAGATCACCGAGACAGGCGTCGTTGGTGCAGACGGCATCGAGCGCGAAGTCGACACCATCGTCTGCGCCACCGGCTTCGACGTAACCTACCGCCCCCGCTTCCCCATCATCGGCCGCAACGGCGTCGACCTCTACGAAAAATGGAAGAACGAACCCGAAGGCTACCTCGGCCTCGCCTGCCCCGACATGCCCAACTGGCTCATGTTCATCGGCCCAACCTGGCCCGTCGAAAACGGCTCCGTCACCGGTCCCTTACTCGCCGTCGCAGAATACACCATCCAGATAATCAAAAAGATGCAACGCGACCACATCAAATCCTGGGTGCCCCGCCAATCCATCACCGACGCCTTCAACGAGCACGCCCAAGAATGGATCAAACACACCGTCTGGAAAGGCAGCTGCAGATCCTGGTACAAGAACAACGATACGGGGCGTGTCAACGCCGTGTGGCCCGGCTCCTCAAACCAGTATGCTGAGGTTATTGAGACGCCGCGGTATGAAGACTTTGAGATTGAGTATATGCATGAGAATCCTTGGGCGCATCTGGGTATGGGGTATGCGATGAGGAATAAGTTGTTTCCCGAGGCGGATGTTAGTCCGTATTTGGCGGTGGAGAATATTGATCCAGAGTGGTTGAAGGCTATTGGGTATGAGGGGGCTGCGGGGGTGGTGGAGGGGGTTAGGGAGAGGAAGGAGGGGGTTGAGGTGGAGAGGACGGCCGTGGATGGGGGGGTTGGGGGTGCGGATGGGAATACGCTGACGTAGTGGTGTAGGGATCAGTATTTCATATCTATTCCTACTAACCATGGGGCTAAGCTATGCTTAAAGCTGCGTTTTGGTAAGTTTAAGCACGTATTGCTTCGTGTTGGGTGCAAGTCCCCATCCCTTAGTGTTAGGTGCAAGTTTTGTAGAACCTGCACGCCGTATAGATAAGTGGATAGACCATCCATGGTCTTTGCCTTCTGTTGGATCCTGGACCCGAAGAGTCGCCCGGTCCAGAGGGCAATCGGGCCTTAGATGCCACTTCGGCGCTAGCCAAGACTGTGAATTCCTGAGTACATGCTCAATTCTAGCGGTCAACCCGGGGTTGATGTTCACGTCCACGCGAACTACAACTATCAGCACGAGACCAACGCTGAGAGAAAATTGGAAATAGAAGTCGTCGTATTCCTGTCCATTATAATAGTAAGACAGAGGTGTAATGATCTCTGCGGTATGTGCCGCCTCTGTAGGCAAGAGTCGCGCGTCGTCTCTATCCGAGGATATGTGCGAAATTTGCGAACATAATCTAGGGTCTATTTCGACTCGCAGCATAGATCGGCCTGAGTGCCGAAACCACCCGGAGGCAGAAGCATGCGTGTGTGCAAATTCTGTCGATGTGGTTACATAGATGGAAGCGTATTCGAAGGCTTTCAAAGCACTCATGGGAACAAGAACGAGGGTACTGCGCTCCCCCAAGACGTCCCAGTCTCGCTCGTAAAGATGTTCGCTGTCCTCAACCCGACGCAACATAATGCATAAGCAAATATCTGTATCCTTCAAGCGCGCAAGGCAGCCATACAAGGCCTTTTCCTCGTGACGAAATATAGGTAGACTGATTCGGCAACCACGACTGGTCAGCTGCGGAGGCAAGTGATCCTCGGGGCGCGGAAATACGGAGAAGCACGTCTTCATTAGTTCCTCACGACGAAAGACCACATGTTCAGTGTACAATAGCTCCGCAGAGAGCAAATCGAGCACCGGTCTAAAGGTTTCGAATTCCGAAGGCGAACTGGCTAGAATGCTTTCTGTCGGGGAGAATGCGTCCCAAGCGAACAGAGTGTAGTCTTCGTCAACTCGAAGCATCTCCTCCTGAAGGCGCCGGAACGCGCGTTTGCCTTCGCCGTAAAGAAGGGGCATGTTCACACCGAGTATTCCAAAAAGACAGTAGGCCTGATCCTCCAACCGACTAGTCTGCCGACGTGCTGCCCACGACAGCCTTACGACAACCGGATAGCGAAGAGGATCCCCTCCAGTGAGTACGTCCCGGTTAATCCCGGTAAGATATGTTATCCGGGGCTGAAGGCTGGTGCGCGTCCCGATGTCTGTCCAGAAAGCGTCATAAAACTCCACGATCGGAGGCGCGATAAGCTCCTGTAATGTCCACCCTCGTGTAAACCACTTTGAATTACTGAATGCCCTGGACCCGTCTATTTCGGGGTTCTGGTAAACGTCCTCTAGGTAGGCGTAGCATATTTCGGCGTTCTTATACCATTGGTACATAGAGTTGATGGCCTCAGATAACTCAGCGCTTGAAGTCTTGTCGATGCAACAAGTGTCAACCCAACAGTACGCAAATCCGTCATCTTTCGCTTTCTTGCAACAGCCAGTGAGCTTTGCATAGCCTTTCTTCGTCGGTGCTTTGCGAGACAAAAGGTCCTGAAGAGTAACTTCCTCTTCCCTCCAAGTGTGGGAGAGGATGACGTACTCGGGTACTCGGCTTTCCAGAAATTCTTGAACCTCTAGCGTGGAGGTGTTAAGCAACCGCATGCTTGCGATGGAGTGTTGACAAATGCGATGTCGTCCACAAGGCTGAACAACGTCTCAGCCGATGTACATTCGACAGCGGACGATGAATGCCATAACGGGGTTGTCGAGACCGGTCGCATGCGACAGGGTGTTGTTCTAGGACGAAGCTGAGATTAGTGAGGTATGTGTTGGCGCGCCCGTGATGAGGGGCAAGGCAAGCGACGAAGATCACGTCGCGAGAATACTTGGAAGGTGGCACAGCAAATGCACGCTAACCCGCCCTTGGTTAGCGCTATCTCACCGGTCCAACCCAACGCCTCAGGCACCTACCCTTCCACA